ACTTGATGGAAACAAATGTGTTCTTAGATGATTCCAGATGAAGTGTAGATGTACCGACTCCTGATCACCTTGATGCTACAATTATTTTTCATCAAATTTCCATATGAAGATGTGTCACAGTTCTTTTTTAAGGAATTGTAACAGATGCTGGTCATTAGTTTGAAAATTAATGAATCCTGTTGAGGTTACAAGCTTTAAGATATTAAAATAAGTCTTAGGATTAAATCTGTGAAACAATGCTGGACAGAAAAAAAAGTTTGTCCAGAGGAAAACGACCTTTGTAGATTAAATCCAGAGCAGATGTCCACACTGCTGGAGAGCACCAGTCAAACTGGGACAAAACAGAATCAGATTTTAAACACTGTTTTATTACATTCTCAGGGCTTCATCCATAAACCACAGTGGCAGTAGCCTTTGCCGTACAGTTCGTTAAAAGCGCTAGAAGATGAGCACCGGCGTCTAACAGGTTCAGAGCGGGTTCAGACATTTATTATTATTAGTGTCACTACAGGAAGCCTCGCCATGCTTCATAGACATACTGTATGACGGCAGGGCTCACACAGTTCTAGGCCAGGCATCAAGTCTGAGCACTTCCTGTCTGCTTACTACGCTGCAGCTCAGCCTCTACAAACTGATTTTATACCAGGGAGGCATCGGGCAGAGCGCATCCTTCCCTGTCTTTTTCCCATTGTGTGGACATGTTTTTCTTGGATGCCACTGTGGTGAAGACATTTGGGCCTCAACTTCAAAGGGTTAGCACTTGGTTTCAGGTTGGAGTCAGGTTTAGTTGAGGTCAGGGGTCAGGCCTTTAGCTGTGGTGGTGAATAGGGGATGCAATGTCTCTGAGTGTCCTCAACTATAAAGACAGGTGTGTGTGTGTAGGCTGTGTTTACAGAATGGTTTCAGCACAGGAGTCACCAAAGAGAGCATGCACTTGTCGATAAAAGTCTCTGTGTGTTTCAGGTGGTGGCCGGTCGTTTGGAGGGTGGAGGCCAGACTCCTCGCATTCTGCCTCCACCTGGACGCCGACCCAGGGCAGCAGCCGGCGAGGCGACAGGTGTGACGGAGCGTCCCCGGAGACGAGGCTCGTCTGGGAGAGGACAGGTGAGGGGGGGCAGGAGATCTTCAGGTGCAGAGTGATGCTGAGGGACAGTGATGGAACCAGCCAGGTTACACATATGCTCAGTGGTCACTTTATTAGGAACGCCTGTCTCACACTCAGTCTGATCCAACAGTCCTGTGGTGAATCGTCCTCCATGAAGGTGGTGGTGTCCAGGTTGTGTTCAGTGTCACAGAGGTGTTAGTTCGCCTGTGTGGTCACTGTGGAGGCTGCAGTCTGTGCTGCTGTTACATCTGTACATGTTGTACAGACAGGAGCGCCTGTACACTACATCGACTTCTGTACAGCTGTTAGGTACTTGTACGTAAGTATTTCTGTGTAATGCAGCTTCATACTTCGACTCTGCTACATTTCAGAGGATTGCACTGTGTTTTGCTGAGAGGTGTTTGCCCACCACGGTTTGTATTAATGAGGCCATCAGGTTGAATAACAGCTTATTGTTTCAGCTTTAGGTAAAGTAATAAGACATGATGGTTTATATAGGGATTATAGGTCTGAATGGCCACTTTGACTTTTAAGAACCTTTAGAAAGCTCAAGTTTATTTTTGATCAGAAATCCAGTTTCTACTAGTAAGTAAGTTATTGTTGAAATCTGTAATGACCCTTCTGACTAGTGAGAAATACTGTTATGGATATGTAAAATGCACTGACACATCCAGTTGGCGTGCAGTTTGATTCACTGTTAAGGCAGTTTGCCACCAATCAGAAACTCTCTTCATAACCCACTGTTGTTTAGGTCACTGTTTGGTTCCAGCTTCTTAGTTTCCTACTTGTCCATCATAGTCAACTGAGTATTTTGTTGCTCAGACAACAATGATGGTGTCAGGTCGGTCTCTAGGAAATGTTTTGCTGCCTGAGGTTTTCTAGACTAAACAATTCATTGGAAAAATAACTGGCACATTAATTGACAATGAAAGCAACTGTTAGTTGCAGCCCCAGTGATCATGTATTTAGTGTGTAAACGACATTTGTAGGTGTTTTCATTTCTGTTGCCTAATTGGAGCTCTTCTCAGGACAATGCAAACCGCCTCCCTCAGCTTTCTGGTTGACCTGGAGCAACCTCGCCGGTTATCATTAGTACAGAGTGTTACCAGACTGCAGGTGTTATCAGCCTTTAATCTGTTCTGCAGCTACAGCTGTACAATAAATGTAGGGCAGTAAAAGTACAAGAGTTCTCTCTGAAATGTGATGAGTCGAAGTGGAAAGTAGCAGAAAATGGAAAAGTAGTACAAGCACCTTAAAACTGTACTTAATACAGTATTATATGAGTTAATGCAAGTAACCTCCCACCGCTGTAAATACCAGAAGCCCCTGTCAGTAGAACACAGTCCAGTGTAGCAGCAGCACAAACTGAACATTATCACTTTCATGAACTGACTCGTTCATTTACTGCAGGACTGTTGGATTAGACTGACCTGGTTTTAGACAGGTGTTCGACCACTGAGTGTACGGACTCACAATCAACTTAGTACTGAAGCTTTATTCACTAATACAAGACATTCATGTAAAAAGGAAACTGTGTGGTATCACTGAAGTTGCAGCTGATTGTTGCCGTCTTGCAGCCTATAGCATGTATGTTACAGGATGCATGAGATGCAGCGAGTGTGGCCTGGCAGTAGAGGGAGCTGTTCTTCACTCTGACACTGGCAGGTGGTGAAGGGAAGGAGAGGCTGCTGAAGGTAAATGCCACATGGAGCAGGTTGTAGTAGCAGGAGGGTTAGAGCAAACAACCACATCGTCTCTACACATCTCAGCTTTGTTTTCCAGCCGTGCACTATTAAAAGGTAAAGGTTGGTCATTTTCTGTACCAACTGTTTTCAACACTCCCCACCCAGAGATAAACTACCAGTGAGTTGCCTCTACGCCATAGTAAGGTTGTCTCAGTCCTGGTTCAGGTTTTTTCATGTGCCATAGGCCTATTGTTCAAAAACACCGCTGCACCGGGTCGCACGTTTCTTCATTACAAAACACCAGATGCTAATGTTTTTTTGTTTTTTTTTAACTGTCTGAGGCTCCAAATGTTTTAGAGAGTCTGAAGTAGGCGAGGCTCAAGGGCACATGCACGACAGCTCTGTATATTTTTAATAAATATGCGAGTCTTGTGTTTTGTAATGAAGAAACATGTCACCTAGTGGAGTGGTGTGTTTCACTGATGTGCTTTAATCATTTTTTAACAATAATGGAGGTCTATGGCACAGATGAATAGGTGGACCCGGGACTGACAGACATTACCTCTGGATAGAGGCAACTCATTGTATGTTATAAAGTACGACTTTGTTAATAATCTTACCCAACAGTTAGTACAGAAAATGACTGGCCTTATCCTTTAATAGTGCACCATCCAACATGAAGCTGATAAGTTTGTGTTATTTTTGAAATGTACAGAGACGATGTGGTGGTTTGCTCTATCCCTCCCGTTGCAGCTGCTACAGTTTGCTCCATGTTGCTTTGTCTTCAGCCTTTCACCACCTGCCAGTGTTGAACCATGAGTAGAGGCAACCTGCTGGTCTCTGTATGGGAGTGGAAATAGTGTTAAGATGACCGGCATTTAACACAGAACAACAATACAATTATCTGACAAAAGTTAGTTTTCCAATGTTGACACCAAACTGTTCCCATTTGCAAAACAGTGCAAAGCATTAAAGGATAACTTCAGTTTTACTGGAACCTGGTGTATTTCCCATAAAGTGGGTGCAGTGACTCAGTTGTATCTCAGAGTCAGAAGGAAAGCTCATACGAGACTTGGGCCGACGTCTGGGGGGCTATTACTGCTACTGCATAGGTCAACCTGGTGGCTGGCCTGATGAGCTTGCTGTAGTGTCTAACCCAGATGTCAGCCCAAGTCTCGTATGAGCTTTCCTTCTGACTCAGAGATACAGTAAGTGTGAGAAATGATTCAGCTGGCACCATGTTTGTTCTGAGCTCTGCCTGAGACACGGTTTAATGCAACTTTTCATTTCCCCAAATCTCTACAATGGAGGCAGTGATAACATTGGCGCAGGCTACAGAGTCATCATACCCATTTTTAGGGGAAATACAGGAGGTTAAAAAAAAAAACAAAGTCATTTTTAAGTGGTTTAAAACTTCTACTCTCTTTTGGACTACAGTTCCCATAATGCTTTGGGCTGAAGAAAGCTTAAAAACATCTCAGACAAGATCTGAAGTGTCTTTTTTTCTAGAGTTTCTACGTGGAAGTATGGATTAGATGTAGATTAGTCCAAAGCATTATGGGACCTGTAGTCCAAAATAGAGTAGGGTTGTCTCAGTGCAAGTGTTGCAGCAGCTGAGAACTGAACAGAATGTGTGTCAGTGGATCAGATCAGTACCTGTGGTCTAGTTCACTTGGAACGGATGTGAATGCCAGTTGAGGGCTCATCTCCTGTGGGGAAACACAAAGAGATAATATAGATGAATAAAACCATCAAAAGCTGAGGCTTACTCTGTTGCAGGATCTTCACACTGATGTCGTGCCAAACAGCAGAATGACATTTACATATTTCTAATTTAAATGTTAGCCATCATTAATATAGTAAATGTTTACATGCACAACAAAATGTCTCAGTTTGCTACATTTGTTCACAACTATTTTTATTTGCACTGATCTTATTTACTCTATTTTAGTCATTTATTGTGATTTAATTCTGCCATGTAAAGTACTTTGGTCAGCTGGATGTTGTTTTTAAAGTGCTATATAAATAAACTTGACAACTCTGACAGCAGTGCCACATTGATGAGCATGTTTTAAGTTAACCTTGTGATAATACCTCGCATACTGGGGTTTGAGGGAATCAGGGGTTTGTTAAACACAACGAGCCTCAATGTCACACAGCCAGATTAGCATCTCATGCTCATGGAGGTTATTCAGGGAAGAGCTGTGTTAGATAACCCAGCTATGGACAAACTCTCTGAACCCAAAGAGATAAATAATCAATATGAATATTGATATATGTATCTACTTAAAAATATGGCACTGCTATGAGAACTGTCCAGTCACATTTTTTATTCTTGTAAATCAAAGCACCCATCTGTCTCATTTAGTGAACAGTGTCAAAGCTTTCAGTCACAGGCAGAGGTGGAGGAAACAGCAGGTGTACTCACAGTCAGAGGTTTGGTTCAGGGTGGGGGGGGGCAACAG